GTTTAGGGTTTGATAGAAAAGTGGACTAAGAGCGTTTGGAGTAAACTTAGGATATCAGAAATAGAAAACACCTAGAGAACGAAGAGAATGGGGAATGTGAAAAAAACACAGCAGGACTTGTTTGAAAGTTCTAGCCTGGGAGTAGAGCTTTTCCACTGTCTTTGATCAGAGAGGGGTCTTTCGGTATCAGGGGAGGTCATTCTCCTCATCCCAGCCTCTGCAGCGGGCACATGAAGTCACGAGGGACACATCTCCCCACTATCTAAGTCAACTGAATTAAGGAAAAGTGGAAATCTTGAAATTTATTGGAAAATGTATTAAGCAAAGTGACACAGGCTCAAAAGGACAAATGCCACGCCTCCTTTCTAAGGATCCCTGCTTCTTGTTTCCATGTGTGCCTTATCTATGTTGACATGAGTGAGTGTAGACAGCATGGACAGTGAAACAGGAAAGGAGCCCACACCCATGATAACGGGAAGTTTTCAGGGAGAAGTGGGAAGACAACACACGTGACCTGAAAGTGGGAGGGATCATACTTGGTAAGAAGAGTTTAAGAGGGATTTGGAAAAGTGGGAGCCAGGAGAGTGGAATGAGGGCCAACACAAACTAAGAAAACCTCCTACTTTGAAAGTGATTTAAAAAAATAAATAAAAGCGGAAAAAAACACACAAAAGAGTTGGGAGGGACTGGACTCTACAATGTGCAGAGTCTGCTGTGTCACAAAGAAAGCCACAAACAAAGGAACACAAAGTCAAATACCATGAATGTACTCCTCTGTTATATTTGGCAATCTGATTGCTATATCTTTCATTTCCTCCACATTCCATTAGCTGCCCTCCTTCTCGCTCTACTTCTCACATCTTGGCCTATCATCACACATCACGACCATAACGCTGTGTCCACTCTTCATGTTTAACACTTAATCAAGTCCTCGCTGAAGCCCATAACAACCACCATTTCTCCCCTCTCCTTTTCTCACCCCAGCCTTTACATCCGACCCGAGGATGCTGAATCTCCCAGTTCAGATCTGAAACAACACATCTCTCCTTGGTTAGGCTTGTTTTTATATTGCAGGCAGAAGTAGAAGCTGGGTCTTAAGAGACCAACTTCCCTGTGGAAGCTGTTGAGGTGCCCTTGACTGCCTAAGGGGTTACTGTGAATCTGTTATTTTGGTATTTTTGTTGTTGTTGTTTGTTTGTTTGTAGATATTTTTCTGGTTATGGCCTCCTTGATGATAATATTTAGATTCCACCTGTGTGTGGAAATGAATTTTTCATGAGTCATTTAAAATACTAAATACCGTCTAAAAAACAGAGGGCAAATTAAAATAAGTTGAATCAGAAAATAGAAGGAGATGTTAACAAAGAATGGAGGTGAAGAGTGTAGAAAAGGAGGGTGTGCAACTGAATACCAAATATGATGAAAGGGAGGGAGTGACAGCTAAATCAGCCAAGTGCCTGTGACAAACACTCGAGGACCCAACTTCAGATCCCAGCACCCATGCAAAATGCCGGGAAGTTTGGCATGGGTTATTAAACTCTGCACGAAGCAGTTTGTGTGTAGAGAGACAGGGAGTCAAACTTGCCTGAATTGGTGGGTTAGGTCCCAGGTTCAGTGAGATATCCCGTCTAAATAAATTAGGTAGAAAATAGTTGAGAAAAATAGTGTCCACTTTCGCCATTTACACATGTGCACACCCTACATGCATGTACATCTGCACTTACATACATGAAGACACACAAACAACACATAAATAAACAGGAAAGAAAAAGAACTGGTGAATGTCTTACTGTAGGATAGGATCACCAAAATTTACTTGCAAAACCTGTGAGTAGCCTCATGTGTCAGAGGGTCACACATGAACAGGAGAGGGTGTGAACTGACAATAACACCCTTTTTATACAGCATGATCATTAACTCGATGTGTCGCTGGAGTCAGGTTAGGGTGTCCCACCAATAGTTGGATCAGACACCGATCTAGGTGCTTCTGGGAAAGCATTTCTTTAGATATATTCAACATTTACTGTCTTTGATTAAAACAATTTGTTTTAGGTTAAATAAAGGAATTTTTTAAAACTTACTTACCCACAATGTGGATGACCCTCAAAAAGAAAAAGACTAAACTTTCTCAAGAAAAAAATTCTTCCTTAAGACAACAACTTTAGAAATCCTGCCTGAGTTTCCAGCTTGCTTGCCTGTGCTGTGGATTTTGGTTTCAAGGCTGTACTTTCAACTCAGGCTTGAAATTGAAGTTTGGCAGCTGCTCTCCTGGTTTCTAGTATGCTAGGCCAACATCTATCCCCCTCCCCCACATACACACAGTTGGAGAATCTCAACTGATGTATGTATACATGTGTTTCTACATAGAACCAGGGTTCCATTTAGACTTAAGAGTCTGCTTCTTCCTTTATCTTAAAAACTCTTTTAAGACTAAACTGCTTCTCATTCATAACTGTCTACAAATATTGCCTGGTAATGTTTTATGAATATAGAAAACAATTGAAAAAATGCTACATGAGTGCAAACCCATTGATCGGAATAGATTTAAAATGTTTTTTGATAATGCACACCATAGTTTTATAACAGATTCCCTTAATTCATGATGTGAAGATGGATATTTCCTGACCAATAAGATTAGAGTTTATGATTACAGCTGGAGACATGAGATGATTTCATTAAGCAGGACATAGGAATGATTCAAGGATAACGGTTTATCATCCACTGCTCTGTGACATAATGGTGTCACATGTCGAGATGACCACCAACTCAGGCATACAGAATAAGTTATAGCTCTTAAAAGTGAGTCCTTGTCTTGATGAGTTTGTGAAATCATCTCTGCTTGCTATTTGTGTGGCCTATAGCTTATACCAATGAAGGGAAGAGGTTAGATAAGTTGGAAATTCAAGCATTCATAATATAATAGCCCTGTGCATTGTAATAGTTAGACATGGACCCAGCTTTTTGTTCCAGTTGATCTTTGCTTCTGGCCTCTGTGCTGCTTGGGAGATTGGCCTATGGCCTGGAATATGGGTGCGGAAAGGCCAGCCTCTCTGTGTAAGCTAGAAAAGGTTCTCCTCTAAAGATCTGAGGCCTTCTCTGGTAATCATAAGGATACTATGTAACCAGATCCTTTTGGTCTTGGAGGATATCTTGTTTTCTTTCTTTTATGCCATCAGAAAGGATCCAATGTAAGTAAAAATGAAACTCTTGATTGGAAGGCAGTTACTGCTTCTTCCAGGAAAAGATGCCCCAAAGCATGGAAACATAAAATTTCCTTCCACATGAGGAAGGATGAAAGGAAAGAATAAGAGATGAAATGTTTCAGAATTTTCCTGGTGTTCATGTAAAAGCCAGAAAAACTGACTTACCTCATCATTCTTCTTCTGTTTGCAAGACAATACAAGGTGGCCACCACAATATGGGTCACAAGGAACCCAAATCCGATACCCAGCAGAGTCCATATGTCTGGAATTTCAAATCCATGAAAAAGATAAACATGATTTAAAAATAGTAAAGATCCAAAGCTTCTGTTTTCACTCATGATGTTACTTACAATTCTGTGTGTAAGTTAACCCCACACTAGAAGGGTCAGACCTGATGTGGCATCGATTTCCTGTCCATCCTTGTCTACACCTGAAAAAGAAAAATCATGTGAGAGCTGAAAGCAAACAAAAGTCTAAAAAGGAGAGGCCTACTGCGCAGAACTGCAGTGGCATTGATGATGGACAAGAAATTTGGAGCTGCCAGAAATGTGAGAAAACAGGCTAAAGAAACCAAACTGTTAAGCCAAATTAAAACATTACATTTTATTATTTTCATATGATAAGATTTTGTTTTAATCCATCCCCTTGTGGATTTTGAAAAGTGGATCGTGGCTTTCACATGTTTCACTTTTTGTTTGGGAACATTGTCTCTTTTCTCCCCGCTGATATCCATCCTCATTTTATCCTTTGTGTCATTTGTCTCAGATTCGAAAGCTCTCATACTGTGTGGCTTTCTTTCTGTGTGCGTGTCTGTGCATGAGGATGGGGCCAGTAAATAAACACGGGAATTCCTCTGGTTCCATTCATCTGGTTTTGAGATAGACTCTCTCGTTGGCCTGGAACTTGACAGATAAGCTTGGCTAGACGGCCAGGCAGATTCAGGATGCACCTCTCTGCCCGCTCAGTGCCAGGATTCTAAACACACCACCAATCTCTCTCTTTCTTTAAAAGATGGATTCAACACAGATCCTCATGTTTGAATGGTATACACCTTAGGGTAATAAGCTCCTCCAGCCTTCACATTTTTGGTAGTGAAGTGATTAGTTCTTTCAGATAATACAACAGTTCAAAATATAGATTAGTAAACATATAAACAAGAATACAAATGTGATTTCTCATCACAAACAGATGTTTCTTCAGTCGCTTAGATTGACAACTAATTTAGATTGATATCATAATTTGTACCTTAGCAAAAATATTCAGATCACACCAGGCTGCTGTCACCTACCATATTTAGGAATATAAAAGGTAAAACTGGTCACACCGGAATACATAATCCTCAGAACAAAAAATCTGGAACCAAATTGCCCTTCTAAGGGATGTACTTTTTGTTCGTGACATGGTCTTTCTCTATGTCACATTGGCAACCTTTAACTAATTATATAGACCTTGCTGGCCTTGATCTCACAGAGACCACTGGTCTCTGTTTATCAATAGCTGGGATTAAAATCATTGCCACCATGTCCCAGGCAAACATTTTTATTTCTAAGTCATTTTTTTCCCTCTGGTACAATGAATCCCCACATGAGTGTGAAAGTTAATACCCATATTCTTATTTAGCAGAAACAATGAGACACTAGCTAAAGTGATTTGGGCTGGATTTCCTTCAAGCTCACTGTGTGTGCTACAAAATCATTTAAAAATTAACTTTGGAATATGTGTTTAAACCTGCGTGTCAGAAGCATTGCTTACTGCATTGGCTAGTTTTATGTCAACTTGACACAAGCTAAGGTCTTTAGAGAAGAGGGCGCTCAGTTGAGAAAATGCCTCCATAAGATCCATGAGATTGAGCTGTGGGGCATTGATGAGAGGGTCCACCCCATTGTGAGTGGGGCCACACCTGGATTGGAGGTCCTGGATTCTGTATGAAAGCAGGCTGAACAAGCCGGCCACTGTCTCTAGGTTCCTGTCCTGTTTGGGTTCCTGTACTGACTTCCGTTGATGATGAGCAGTGCTGTGAAAGTGTAAGTCAAACTCCTTTTCCCAAGCTACTTTGGTCATGTTTTGTTACGGCAACAGTACCCCTAACTAGGATACTGTAAGCACATGGTTTCTGTCTATCTCCCCTTTAAATTTGAAAATTTGGATGCATAAAATCAATTCCTTCTCTAAAATTTAATTAATTAAATTTAAAGGTCCTAGAAGGTCATTAGAGTTTTCTCTTTTGTTAATAGTCCTTTAAAAGTAAAAATCAAACACAATCTGATAATGTTGAAGTTTCTAAAATTCAGATGAAAATAGACTCATTGAATTAGGAGTATTTAGGTTCTATTCTCATAATATTTAAGATAGAGAGCATTTTATGTTTCCTTCTCAGTCTCCATTAAACAATGTGTGCTACATGACAATCTTTCATACATGTGTGCTAGTGTGACTTACAGATACTTTTGTATTCTGTCAGTTGTGAGTTCATTGTGTGTTAACTGGGTTCCTTCAGACTTGAAAGTGCCATTATCCTGGGGTCAGTACAACATCTTACTTTAAACAAATACTACATATTTGAATATGTTGACCTAGTTAAATTCTGTGAGAATCTCTGAGAAAAACCTTTGGAGAGATAGAGTGGATGGATGATTCTCATCAGCTGTCTGAATGTTCTCTATCAGTACATCATCTGCCTGTGCCTGCTGTCCACCTACCTATATATTTAGATAGTGACATTTACATAGAACGTGGTGAAATGAATGAGGAGGGGGAAAAAGGAGAAACATTTACAGAATTGCAGAAAGAATTCAGGACATTTAATGTGCTTTCATCTCTGTTTCTCAAAGGAAGCCTCCTCTATGGAAAAACCAGTGTTGAAATAATTGTGGCAATTTGATCCCTAGACTTCTGTAACTTTTCCAGGGCAGGGTGGTCCTCTGCTTTTGAACCAGATTCTGAGGACAGCATCAATACTATGCCAGGATAGTATCTGCCCAACCTGCCAGCAACAGCACTGAAACAAGTTTTTCTGTTGCCTCTCCTGGAGAATTGCAGTCAGGAAGTGAACGAATATTCCTTCTGTTCTAAATACAGCGGAGTACACTCATTTCCTCCAAGCTTACCCTAAACCCCTATTAAATTTCATGGAGATGTTTTTAAAAGAAATATTAGCATCACTTTCATCATCATTTTTAAAGGAATCTTTCTCATAACTGAGTCAGTAGGGTTAGAATAACAAATGAAAAGTGAAGTAATGCCTAACACCCCAGGATAAAGACTGTTTGAGAATTGGGTAGTATACGGGGTGATATACTTGTCAGAGGTGAAGCCTTGAGGCTCGGGCGGGAGAAAAGAGGCACAAAAAGTGGATGGTCTGAGGGATTGAAACCAGTGTGCTTTGGTTATATGGCTGAGCACCAAAGAAGAGTCATCCAGACAGGGACAGTCTAGTCCCAGAGATAGAATCTGGGCTTTTGGTCCAGTGACTTGGCAGGTTTGGGACTGTTGCATAATTGCCTGAGGCTAGAGACTTGTTCCAACAGGGAATAGGACAAAGATTCATCACACACCTTGACAATTAAAGTCCAAAATGTTCCTCATAGGAAATCATTTAGCTACTTTATGTCTAGGCAAGGCTGGAAGCAAACATGTTATCATTTTTTTTTCATTTTACATTTCAACCACAGTTACCCCTCCCTTATTCTCTCTCAATCCCCCTACCTCCCTCCCACCCAACCCCACCCCCTCCATCCGCTACTCAGAAAGGGTAAGTCAACAAAGTCTGGAATATCAAGTTGAGGCAGGACCAGCCAATCCTTCCCCCAGCCCTGTATCAAGGCTGCCTCCATAGGGAGTTTGTTCCAAAAAGCCAATTCATGAACTGGGCATAAATCCTGGTCCCACTGCCGGTGGGCGCACAGAACTATCACCCACATTCCGAGGGCCTAGTTTGATCCTATGGAGGTTCTGGCAGAACATATGCTAAAACTGGAATGATAGAGAGAAGATTAGCATGGTCCCTGCGCAAACATGGTTTTATGTCCCGTGCATTGCCAACGTTATCTATGAAGACCATGGACTGTGCTAACCTAGTATGTAGCATTCTAATTTAGGATGCTCGGATCTTGACATCTGTCTCTCCCTCCCTCTGCCCTTCCCTCCTTTCCTCTGTGCATGTGTGAGTATCTCCCTATTTTTTCCTTGCAAAAAAGAAAGAAAATAGGCCTTAAATCTTTGAATTGTTAACTATGTTATTTTTAAATGCAGTCATTTTATATACATTTACTTTGAATAAAGGTTCCCATGTGAAAAATACATACAGGAATCTGATTTATTTAGTTTTATACATCTGTTTTAAGTTAGTTTGCATATATATATATATATGTGTGTGTGTGTGTGTGTGTGTGTGTGTGTCCTCTACATTTTAATCATCTTATAACTCTTGGTGATCAAACAATGACACAATTATAGTGAGTATTGTGGAAGCTTCCCCCAAATTCATTCCACCAATCCCCTTACTGTAAACTCTGTAACTTTCCTTTGGTTCAGTTGGTGTGGGACCCATGGCAATGCCATGTCCTCCTTATGATACAGGCATCAGCATACAGATTCCCAGCCAGCAGAGATGGGTTTATAGATAGACACGGACATAAGTCTATGCAAGTGCTTCGTCACAAAGGGTTACAGTTTGATGTTTGTATCTGCTTAAAGGCTTTCTTCCTCAACTCGGATGTAAAGCAGGAAGCATGCTTGAAGTCCTGTTGCAAGCTCAGATAGTCCCTTTGGTATCGTTTATTTGGAAAGGCCATTCTGAGGGTGGGATTGACTAATAGGAGACAGTCTGTAAAATCCCGGGGAGATGGAGAAAGGGTGATTAACTCCATAGTCTCCTTTGTGTTCAAGGACCAACTATCCACAGCTAGGCTTTTGGCTTGAGTCAATAAATTTAGTTATCATTCTGACCACTATGATTTAAGACTCATGTTTTAATTTTTATTTATTTGTGTCTGTGTGAGAATCTGACACATGTGTTTCGGAACCACAGAAGCCAGAAGGGGGCACTGAGTTTTTCTAGAGCTGGAGTAATGAACATTGTGATCCAAGCTGTGTCCTCTGGGAATGGGCTGGAGCAGTGTGCAGTTTAAATATATTGTTAGTCAGATCTATGATTTAGCGCTGTAGAAGACAAGCTTACGTGCTTTTATTACATGCTTTTCTGCTGACAGGTTCAAATTATTAGATGCACACCCGTCACTTTTGCTAGGAGGATCCAAGATCACGCCACATTTACAGTCCAAGCTTAGCATATTACAAACTAGTGCATGTTTCTCCATTTCATCCTTTATGAAATGAAAGGACTGAGAACTTGAGTCTTACATCCCTAAGGAAAGTATGCTGAAAAACTTTCCACTGTGGCTTCTCAGACTGTCTTGTGCTGACCGCACATGCTTCCTTCTCATGGTCTTTCTCAAGTTAAAATATGGAGCATAGTTGACATACTAGTACTTGGTACTATACATTGTGCTCATCAGAAAAAAATCATGGTAAGGAGAAGTTTCTGGTATGGATGGTCTGAACGTGTCTGTTTGTTACATTAAACCTTACCGGGGACATACGGAAGTGCAGGAATACAGGGCAAGTGTGAGGCTAGGAAGATGAGGACATAAGGATACCTAGACACTGGGAGAAAATGTGTTTCCTAGCTCTGTGACTTTATACAATTCAGATATATCACATTTATTAAAAGCCGTAATGAGAACTACAGAACTTGTAGGTTAGAAAAACCCACAGAAAAGACTCATGAAACAACACCATTGCAGATTTCGCTAAGATGTTGCATATATGAAATTTTGCTTTTTCATATTTATTCTAGTCATGAATCTTCTCTACTTAACTTCTATTTCTTGTCCTAAAAGTCTGATCTTTAAACTAAATCGGACAAGTGTTGACTCTAATCCCTTTAGGGACTCTTAATGAAGATGGAAGAAGAAATATAGTCACTGGCACATCTTCTAATTTCAAAACTTACCAAAAATATTCCCAACCACGTAATATAGTAACACTCTTTAAGATTCTTGATGAAGGCACATGGCAAGGAAGAGAGGGAGGAGTTGAATATATTTCTACCCACTATATAGTCATTTCTCATGTAGAGAAAAATGGAGAAATCTGGAGCGTTTTTCTCAAAGTAAGTGTTTCCTGGGTGATGGGCTGGGACTATATCAAGAAAATGGTATAGGAAAATATAACTAATTGTTTAGCAAGGCACCATAGCATCGTGGATGAATTCACTGTAATAGAAAATAGGAAAGCAGGAGGAGCCACTGAATAATCTCAGAACCACAGAGTGCTGCAATTCCACAGTCCTTGCCAGTGATTAATTTGCTTGGACTAATTTCCCCCATGACTAATTAGCTCCAACATGTTATCCAAATTTCGTAAGTACTAGGTGGAGCCAACCTGAAGGAAAAAGATAAACATCCTGTTCCATTCATGCATACGGGTCTATTTTCTTATACAAAGAAGAGAAAGGGAGAAATAAAATGTCATTAGATTCTTTCAGCTACAGCCCACACCCTAACCTTTCTTCAATTTTAGTAGGTTCTTTGCTATTAGCAGGTTTTAACCAAGGTGCCACTGGAATAACTCAGTTCTGGGTGTGCTTGGCAACACCCATTCGTTACTTTCTCACACCTGGAACACAAGTTCATCTTGTCTTTCTTGTCATTTGTGTACACACCCCAGCGATTTGTCACACTGCCAGGGCCAGTAAGTAGCAGCTCCACACATTACTAAGCTTGCATTCCTGGACTAATTGGCGGGACTCAGCAGAGGGTTTGCTCTGGCTGCTTAAGTGAACTGGGTTGTTGTCTCAAGCGATAAATCAAGTTTAGCTTCTTTATATTTGTTCTAATAGGTCTGAAGAAAGCATAGGGTGTTCAGAGGGAGGGTTCCCTCATAAAGATGCTGTTATCTGAATATTCAAATTTAGAAGCTAGTGTACGTGACAATGAGGTGGCATCTAATACTTGCCACCGAT